CTTGTTTCCTTCCTCCCCTTTTTTTGTTTCTTTGTTTTCTTTTTTCTTTTTTCTTTTTTTGCCCCCATTTTTTTTCCTTTTTTTTCTCTCAATTTTGTCCTTTTCGTTTTTTCCTTGTTTTGTTTCCGGACTTAAGCCCCTCGAGTAGGGAGTCCCTGGACAATTTGGGTACCAGCCAGGTGATGAATCACGGGAGCAGCCCACTCCCAGGATATCTCAAATAAGGCTCTAGGGTAGGGTAGTTAGTGGGCGCACGATGCGGTGGGATAGCCAAGGGTTGAGTTTGGAAGTTACAGTCTCTCTTTCCCCCCCCTTTTTTTTCCCCCTCCCTTTTTCCTTTCTCAGGACCGCTCTTCAGACGTAGGATAGGTGTGCATGAATGGATGGATAGGAACAATAGCTTGTATTGTAAGGGCAACGACTCACTAATGGACCCAACGACTATATCAGAATAGAACCCATGGGCACTATTCATCAAAGCACCATACGGTTGATGGTTCTGACGGCAGGGTTGGCGACCGGTTCTCGCTTTTACGGAGGGATAGAGCAAGACAGAGAACGGCATGGACTTCTTCGAAGATTGGGACCTGGAGGAGGAACAGCCGGAGGTGGAGGAAGTGGTAACTTTTCTGACGGTCGGCATTTTCCCGGTCGTACTCTCGTAAACCCGGCGCCTGGGTATTCCGAGGCCAAGCGGCATGCATTCCGACGCCACCTGCCCCGCTGAGCGCACCCTGCCCTGCTCACCCCTCTCCGCTCTGGTGCGAGATGCCGCATCAGCCCTCCTCCTCTTTCTCGCTCTCCTGCCAAATCTCGCTATAGCCGGCGCACTGCTAACCGCATGTATGTCCGAGGGCATCTTCCTCCGGCTATCGGCTAGGCGCTTTGCTTTGCTGAAAATATGCACGATCTGCTTTAGTGCCTTCTTTCTTGCCGGTTGCTGCTGCCTCTTCTTTGCGCTGGGCGCAGGTGGTGGGTGTGTAGGATAGCCCGGCATAATATTTCGTAAGAAGCGGCGCCATGGAGCACAGGACGACGATGGAGGCGTCGACATGCGCCTTCTTGGCTTTCCTCTCATTTCTTTCCTTCCTTGCCTTCTTCTACTTCGTCTACTCCCTCCCCCAACCCCTTCCGCTTCCTCATTCCTCCCCCCTTCCCCATCCCCAACTCCTCGTCCCCCGATCCCGGAACCCCCCATCATCCCTATCACAATTCTCCCCCGCCCATAACCCAACCACTGCAACCACTCCCACCCCCTCGCCTTCCAGGAACGCTGGAGGATGTCCCACCCTCTGATGATGCCCCACGTGGCATGGGGCAGAAAAGTGCTTTAGGGAGCTGCCACGCCCTTCCCGCGATTCGACGAGATAATTCGCGCAGCTGCAGGAATGCGCTGATCCGGAGGAAAGAGCTGAAGCGGAATTACCTTTTTCCCTTCTTCCCCTTCCCGACCCCCTTCCCCTCGCCCCCCTCTCTCCCCATTCCCCCTCCCCCCCTTCGCTTCCCTTCCTCCTCCTCCCTCCCCCCCTGGAACCCTGCAATCATTCGACGGTAGAGGAGCGAAGTGGGCGGCGCAATTTTTTTCCCGGTTGGAATTTGGAGTCTGATTTTTTTCTTCTGGAACATCGTGTTGCTTCTGGGGTCGATTTGCAATAACCTTTGTTCCTTCGTTTTTTTCTTGAAAGTACTGTCGGCCTCTCGTCGTCCTGTCAAAAGTTCTCTCGATTGCTTATGAGTGAATGGACTAATCTTATGGACTATTGTTGTATGCTATTGCTAGCCCTCTCCTTCTTCAATGGTTGTCTCCTGTTTGTCGATTTTGTCAAGCGCTTTTGATTTTCAATGGATGAATGGGCCCATCTTATGGACTATTGCTTTATGCTATGGGTAGCACTCTCCTTCCTCAATGGTTGTCTCCTGTTTGTCGTTTTTGTCGGGCGCTTTTGATTTTCTACGAATGAATGGCCAATCTTTCGAAGCACTGCCTGGATAAGATATTGTTTCCTTCCTATCTTGCAAATTTGTTATTCGAATGTATGGTGTGCGCATTGTATGATGGTTAATGAATTTATCCCAAAGGCTGTTTTTCAGACTTCTATCTCCGTACGATTGATCTAGTCGTTGCCCCCTTGCGATACGGAGCACCTTCACCCCCTCACTTATGTTCGCCACTTGCGCTAGACTGGCCGAACTTCACCCAGTAAAAGGCCTCGTTGCTACCCTCACTACGTAATGGGCATACCGAGTGGCTCTACCTCGCCGCGTTTGAAGTTCGCCTCTCGCGTCTTGCCTTTTTGCTCATGGTGTGCCGACGCTTTCTGGTCGGAGTAGCACGAAGCATGACGTGTCGTGCTCACACGAAATGCATGTGACATGCGCATGCTAACACACACACACACACAT